CACACACACACACACACACACACACACACACACACACACACACACACCAACATGAACTGGCACACAGACCTCTTCACTCCACTCAACCGGGGTTAAATGATCGCAACCAGATTATTAAACTCGGCCGATCTTTCTCAACTCATCTGTGTGTGTGTGTGTATGTGTGTGTGTGTGTGTGTGCGTGTGTGTGTGTGTGTGAGATGAGTTGATGTGGGAAAAACAAACAGGCGGTCTGGCCGTGCTACCGAATGTGTGAAAAGGACCCCACTGAGTAAACAAGGTCCTCACAGGGGAAGAACCCACAACAACTCATCTCCTCCGTCTTTGTGGAAATGGTGCTCCCCACCTCCCTCCCCCTTCATCTGAACCCCCTTTCCCCCGTCTCCATCCCCTTCATCTTTCACAGGTTCACTGTTTGCCTGGCAGCCATGTTGTACCCCCTTTAACTGTTAGAGTCCTTTTTGTGTCAAAGTATCCATCCAGAAACATGTATGCCTGAAAAAAATGTATCCTTCAGCCCCTTTCTATTGTCTCTAATGCCTAAAAGTACAACTTTATTTGTTATAAATGTCTAAAAACACTATTTTTGAATGTTGCTGATGTATTTATTTCACAGACGCCTAAATCGGAATAATCTGGCCGTGTTTCCCGAGCTGCTTTTCCTGGGAACCACCAAGCTCTACAGACTGTAAGTTGTGTGTGTTTTGTTTTTTTTAATCGCTCCAGTGAAATGTTAAACAAGTGGCCATGCGTTCGACCCAACAGAACTCAATGTTGGAGCTTTGACTGATTCTGCGCATCAGAACGACCTGTTTGCAGACGGCGATGCTATGAACTGTTGTTTTTCTTGCGGCATCAGAGGGACGGAGGCGTTAGAAGAGTGAGAGGCCAGTTCAGTAGTTACTGGAGATTAGCACTCCCAACAGCTGCTGCCCGCTGGGAGAAAGGTGTCTGCGAAACACAACGGATGTCTCCCGGGCACAGAATAGTTTTGCAAGCAGAACGTAGACACGTTGACACCAACACACCGCCGTTTGTTGTCAGCAGCACCTTCCACCGTCCGCTCACAGGCCGAGCCTCGCATTCCCAGTTCTGCTGGGCTGGGCCGCAACGCTGCTGCAACTGTGGGAACGGCCTTCCCGTCACGGTCGTTTGCGGTCTCGAGCAATAATTATGGCTGCTTGTATTTATATGTGCGGCTGAATATATTTATGTAACACTACAGGGAAATGCTCAGATGCTTCGCAGAGTGTGTGAAACTTGTTTATGTTCTGTGGCTGCCGCCGCGGTCGGCCTGCTGTGTGTTAGGGTGTGTGTGCGATTCTCTAAGTGTGTGTTTCCCAAGGCCAGGGGTTGGCATTTTGCTCAGCCTAGATAAATATACTTCTCAGATATGTTGCGTTGATGATGCTTCAGTTTTCAGCGTTACTGACGGATCGATGTTGAACTTCTTCTGAAATATGGTTAAGGATTTGACAGACGTTGAAAACATGTTAAATGACAATAAATGAAACAAGCAAGGTGCTGCTGTTACAGTTTTTATCATTATATTTTTGTCGTTAAGTTGAAAACTAGGTTATGGAGCTTTTAGTGGTGGTACATCTCTCATCTATGTTTTTGAAACTCCTCGCAGTCTGTTTTTATTTTTAGAAATCACAAACAGGAATCTCTGAAAACTTCTAAAACTGGACCCTGTTGAATTTCATATTGAGGGTTAAAGATTTTTGCCAACGGGACTGTTTTATTTTTATTTATTTTTTGCAACCGTATGACCATAAATGAACACTTGCTCAACCTGCTATTATGAAAAGTTGTTTTTGGAGCTCGAAACAAACCTTGAATGTGTGTCGATGTGTTATATTTTCTCTGCGCCGCTCGGTGGTTTGGGCTTCTGAGTATGGAGTTAAACTGGTCTGAGGTCAGGTGTGAATTCTGTGAACTGCTGCTGCTGTTTATATATTTAAAAAGTGCAATTATGTCACACATTTACTACAAAAATGTAGAATCAAGGGTCCCACATGTCCAAAGATCACTGGATGTCACAGATATGTCCAAACTTTTGTCACCGAGGCCATAAAATGTTTCTAAATCTGACCTGTCGATGTTGGTAAAATAAATACAGGATGTTGCCTAAAGAGATTTTTATTTATAGAAATTATAATGCAAGCTTCCAAAACAACGTTTGAATAATATGGATGGAAAATATAGAAACACTCATGACAAAGGATAAAATGAGAACTAGTTGTTCTGTTATTAGTTTTGGATTTTCCCAGACCTGATCCTTTTTTTTGTTGTTTAAAGCTAACAATATAATGTTATTTGTTAAACCAAGCCCAGTAATTGTATATAAACCAGCTAAAAACACAACAATTACAATTTTGACAAAAACTCACAATATAATGTAACAAAAATTAACAGTTCCTCCATGTTTAGTTTTAGTTTTGGTATTATATTATAAGTTTAGTCTCTTCATGCAAAGCTGTTGGATTTCTTTAACAAATATTTATTCTATTCAAACTCCAAATATTTCATAATTTTTGGTAACTTTGGACCCAAATCAGAAAAAAGGCATTTCATTATCAAACACATTGAGACACAATCAATATATTAACATACATTTTCTTTAACTGTGTTTTAAATTAACTCAGAATGTCTTTTTATTTTGTACTTCCACCCATCCCTGTTTTTTTTAAATACATTTGTATATTTCAACAATGTGATTTTAAAACTGGGGCTTTATATTATGTTCATTTTTGTTGCATTCCTGTTCTCGTGTCTTTGTTGCGTTTTGTAAACGAGTCACAGGATTTTAGTTTTGCTCGAGGTGCACACGAACACAACGCATCAGATCGCTGTCCTCCAGCTCGTTCTGCTTCCTCTTTACTGGACAAAAATCAGGAGCGAGATGAAAGACGGAGACATGAAAGAGGGGTTGATGGAGGGAAAGGCTGATGGGAGGATGAGAGAAAGGGTCACTGCTTTCACGCTGAAAATGGGAGTTATTCTTGGGTGTGAGGCTGGTTTGATGAGATGTGTGTGTGTGTGTGTGTGGGAACTTTTGTGTGTGTTTTGGGACTGCTTCTGGCCAGCACGCTTCTGCAACAGCTTGTCGGGTTGAAATTTATTACTCTGGGTTGTTTACTTGGTCCTTGCTGTAGTGATTTAAGAGCGGGAAGCGATGTGAGACACGAAGAGAGACGAGATGAGTTTTCCTCGAAAGGCACGAGCGTGAGCTCATTTTATGGAATAAACTCTTCAGCTGGGGTTCCATCCAGAGATGAGTCTAATCTAGGATGACCGTTTTAAATGGTGCTTAGAGTGAATAAAATAGCAGTAAGGGTATTACCTGCAGAGGAAAGAATAATGAGTGTTACAGGATGATGAACATCGGGAAACAAAAGTTTCCTGGTAAACAAAACCTCCTGCCCTCTAGTATCAAGTCATATTCTGTGCCCTATAGCCTAAAGCTACAATACGAACACACGCTCTACACACTTTCTGAAGATGAAGCAGTCGGCCACCATCTTTATGCACATCTATAACTTTGTTTTGCAAAAATGACCCCAAGTTCAAACCTTAGATTTAATAGAATCAAGCCAATATCAACACGCTCACGTCAGTTCCACCAATCGTCGAGCCGAAGACATGCGATGCGTAACATTCACCTTCAGCCAATCAACTCCTTGTAGTCGGGTCATAAATGGTCATTTTGGCTGGGAAAATGCTCAACAAACACACTGGGATATGAAGTTGCTCGATAAATACGGTTTTATTCCAGAAGATTTAACATCTGGAGGACAAAGGAGCAAGGTAAGACAATATCTGAGATTGTGTTTTTCAAATGTGAGTAAAGGTTCTGGTCTCCTTTTGCTGCTGTTTGAGTAAATCCTGGTTGGATCGTGATGAAACTTATGTTGGGACTCTGTGAGGTCTCTGCTTTCAGCAGACGTGCTGGTCTCTGCATCTAGCCATGGACTGAACAGCTGAGGCTGAGTTTTGTGGTGTTGCCATTTTGTGCAGTTTGTTTAATTGTGTAAATTTAAAAGTGAAGTGGCTGCTGAAGGTAAAAAAAAAGAAGAAAAAGATCAAGTGAGACGACTGTCATAGAATAAATATTGGGAATTGAGCAGGTTGTTGAAGCTCTGTAAAGACAAAGCTCGGCCTTCAAATACGCCACTTCTGCAAAACATCTGTTAGTAGGGGAAATTTAACTATCTTTTCATTTGAATACTTTACTCAACAAATATGAGCATAAATACACACAAAAACATCAAAATTGTCCGACTTCTTGATCCGAAATTATTTTTTTCATTTACCCTTTATTTATACAGGTAGTCTCCTTGAGCCCCGAGAACTCATTTTCAAGAGAGACCTGTTTTTAGGGAGCAGATGGGGGTTAAGGCTTGCTCGGGGACCCAGAGTGGGGCGAATGAGGGTGGAGGGGGGTGTGGGTGTTCCACCTTTTCCACCCACATTTTTGATGTTGACGGTAGCGGGAGGTGAACCTGCGACTTTCCGATCACAAGCCCATCTTCTAACCTCTGCGCCACCACTCCCCCCAGATCCGAAATTGTTCTTTAATGGATGTTTGTTATCGCTGACATCCTTTAGGTCACTTCAGCTGTTTACGTAGGTAAAAAAAAGAAACATGTAGTTGGCATTTAGCCACAAACTTTGCTTACAAATCTTGAATTTAAGACCAATTTACCATCGAAATAAGAAAAAAAGCAGATTTTGTTTCTTACTTTATAACAAAAAGTTTTAATTATTCCTCATGACTTTATAACCTTCAACTTCCCAGCCCTCAGGACTATTCAGCACATGTTTTAGTAATAAAAGTGAGTTACCATCATCCAACCTCCTGCCTACTCTCTGGTTTGGGTCATTAGCGTCACACACTCTGACACCTTCGGCTCTTTCTTTACTTTAATCATTCCACGTGCATTTTGCAGCGTGAGAGAACAAACAATCAATGCTGCTGAATGAAGCCATCATTATTAGAGAATGCTTTAAAGAGGTGTATGGTCAAAGTGACTTCAAGCCCAAGGCTTTAGCTGCCTCCATCGGCTCTGAGCGTTGTTTCTGATGAACTAGCCTCAAGAAGGGATTGTTCAGTTCAGTCGCTGCCTGATGTTTTCCTTCACATCACGACAATCGGTAATAATCAACGAGTCGTATTTAACCCCTTACATACATGAACTGCAGCTGCTGGGGTGAACCCTGGTAACTGATCAATCACAGTCTTTCCAAATATCTGAGTAAAACAAACGTAAAAAAAAAGATGTTCACGAATAATGCACGCCCGTTGAAAGATGGACGTTTTACGGTAAAGTCTCTGTCCGATCGTAAAACATCTTTTGTCTGGACCATAACTTCTGATCCACTTCAGATAATTTAATGAAACTTCATACACATGTCCAACTATGTTCAGTCAGGTCATCTGCACAGTTCTTTTTTGCTTTTGGTGGAGAGACGTTTCGCAAAGTGGTTCAAGACATCAAAGTTCATGCTCAATAATCCAGGTAAAGAAATCCAACAATGTTCAGTCAGTATGAAAACTGATGAAGCCCTTCGGATGGAGGGCGAAACGTCTCCCAACAAAAAAACGAACTGTCCAGATGACATGACTGAACATTGTTGGATTTCTTTACCTGGATTATTGAGCATGAACTTTGATTTCATACACAT